TATATATGCATTTTTGCTGATCTGAGATTGTATTGTTTGCCTTTATTACATCTCGCAACAACTCAAACGTGTTAGAGGAATTGGCAATGATGCTTATTCAATCAACTGTAAACATTCATATATTATTATGTCATCTAACAGGATGCTATTAAAACTGCTCTTCTACTTGGGGCAATTGATCGTGAGATTGGAGGAATCGCAATCTGTGGCAAAAGAGGAACGGCAAAAACAGTTATGGCACGCGGATTACATGCAATTCTGCCACCAATCGATGTAGTTGTTGGTTCAACTTCAAATGCTGATCCAGCCTGCCCAGAAGAGTAAGGTTACCAAATCTCTTAACAAAATTTATGTGAACTCTAGATTACATTCCTTGATGCTTGATATTTAAAGAATTGCAATGTTTCCTTGTGATTAGTCGGCTGACAACAAAACTTTGTTTGATATATATAATAGATGGGAAGATGGACTTGCTGATAGAGTGGAATATGACTCTGCTGGTAATGTGAAGACCCAAGTAGTTAGATCACCGTTTGTGCAGGTGGTGTCTGTGGGAAAATATTGTGATACTTTTAGCATAATCATCTTCTTTAAATTTAACCCTAATTGCTTTCTTTTTTCAGATTCCACTTGGTGTTACAGAAGATCGATTAATTGGATCTGTTGATGTTGAGGAGTCTGTCAAGAATGGAACAACTGTGTTCCAGCCAGGTCTTCTAGCTGAAGCACATAGAGGGGTTCTTTATGTTGATGAAATCAACTTACTGGATGAGGGTATAAGTAATTTGCTCCTTAATGTGTTGACTGATGGTGTTAATATTGTTGAGAGAGAAGGAATCAGCTTTCGTCACCCATGCAAGCCACTGTTAATTGCTACTTATAATCCTGAAGAGGGTTCTGTACGTGAACATTTACTCGATCGTATTGCAATCAATTTAAGGTAGACTTCTTATACTTATTAACAATTTAAAAAATACATACAATTTATTGAAATCTTTATTCTGCAGTGCAGATCTTCCAATGAGCTTTGAGGATCGTGTTGCTGCTGTAGGGATTGCAACACAGTTTCAGGAACAAAGTAAGGAGGTTTATAAAATGATGGAGGAAGAAACAGACTCTGCAAAGACTCAGGTAATCATTCATGCAAGTTATTTTTAAAATTCTAAATTGGTAGTGAAATATCTGCTGTTTTTGTACAGATTATTTTGGCAAGAGAATATTTGAAAGATGTAAGCATTAGTCGTGAGCAACTCAAGTATCTGGTCATGGAAGCTATGCGTGGTGGTTGCCAGGTAAATCTGTAAGAATTTAGACATCTGATGAAGAAGAAGTTTCTTTGAAATATAATTGCTCAAAGATGAATTATAACTGAATAAAGATCTTTAAAAGTTTGATGGGGTTTACTACAGGGACATAGAGCTGAACTATATGCTGCACGTGTTGCCAAATGTTTAGCTGCTTTTGAAGGCCGTGAAAAAGTCAGTGTGGATGACCTCAAGAAATCTGTAAGTATCTCATTCTGGATTAAAAAAAAAAAAAATTCTTTTTTCATTTTTTTCAAAATTCTTTCTCCATTTTCAGGTAGAACTTGTGATTCTTCCTCGTTCAATGATAAACGAGAACCCGCCAGATCAGCAGCAGCAGCCTCCACCCCCGCCACCTCCTCCACAAAATCAAAATTCTGAGAACCAGAATGAAGAAGAGGAGGAAGAGGTGAGTCGGTCAACATGGTCAAAATTATTAATTACTGTAGGAAATATATATATATATATATATATATATATATATATATATATGTGGATGCTAATGATTGGATGTTTATTATTATTATTATTATATAAACAGGAGGAAGATAATGAAGATGAAAAGGATGAAGAAAATGAACAGCAACAAGACCAATTACCTGAAGAATTTATCTTTGATGCAGATGGTGGTCTGGTGGATGAAAAACTTCTCTTTTTTGCACAACAAGCACAAAGAAAAAAAGGGAAAGCCGGAAGGGCTAAAAATGTCATTTTCTCAGAAGACAGAGGTCGATATATCAAACCAATGCTTCCCAAGGTTGGTTTTTTAACTTTAATATAGCTTTTGTACTTTATAAATTTAAAAAAAAAAAAAAACTACTTTTGTTTGTTTTGAGTTTTGACCAAATGGGTTGACTTGAAACAGGGTCCTGTAAAACGATTAGCTGTTGATGCAACATTAAGAGCAGCTGCACCTTATCAGAAATTGCGTAGGGAGAAAGACACACAAAGTCTTAGGAAAGTTTATGTGGAAAAAACAGATATGAGAGCTAAAAGAATGGCTAGGAAAGCAGGTGCCTTGGTAAGTAAAGCATGTTGTCATATTGGATGACTAAAATTGAGAAATTATTTTTATCGTATGTTTTGTTTTTTTATACATTTGTGCAGGTTATATTTGTGGTTGATGCTAGTGGAAGCATGGCATTAAATCGAATGCAAAATGCAAAAGGTGCAGCACTTAAACTGTTAGCAGAAAGCTATACAAGTAGAGATCAGGTAATGTAATTTATTTATTATTGAATCTTTTTCTAATTTGTTGAATTTATTTATAATGTTGAAATTTATTTATAGGTGTCAATTATTCCGTTTCGTGGAGATGCTGCAGAAGTGCTTTTGCCTCCTTCCAGATCAATCTCAATGGCTAGGAAAAGACTCGAGAGGCTTCCATGTGGTGGTGGTTCTCCTCTTGCTCATGGACTTACCACGGTATTTTTTTTTGTTAAATAAATAAAATTTAATAAAATAATAAAATTTGAAGTAGTTTTTTGTTGGGGGGACAGGCGGTTAGGGTGGGGATGAATGCGGAGAAGAGTGGAGATGTTGGGCGGATAATGATTGTGGCAATAACAGATGGGAGAGCCAATATTTCACTTCAAAGATCTAATGATCCAGAAATGGCTGCAGATGCACCAAGGCCTTCTTCTCAAGAGTTGAAGGTAGTAAAACAATTTACAATTTACAATTTACAAAAAACAAAAACTATATTATTATTATTACACTAATAATAATTTTCTATTTTTATTGAAGGATGAGATACTCGAAGTGGCTGGTAAGATTTATAAAGCGGGTATGTCTTTGTTGGTGATTGACACGGAGAATAAGTTTGTTTCGACTGGTTTTGCTAAAGAGATTGCTCGAGTGGCTCAAGGTATGAATTATTATTCCAAACACACCAATTTCCTTTTTTTTTTTTTTTTTAATTGTTGACTGATATTTTTTGTGTATTAGGAAAATACTATTACCTGCCTAATGCTTCCGACTCTGTTATCTCGGCTGCAACAAAGGATGCTTTGTCAGCTTTGAAGAACTCTTGAATAAAAAAATCATCACATCCACATTGTAATGCTTTTTTGTTGAAAAGGAGACACAAAATGGCTTTTCATTGTGTTTGAAGATTTTTTTTTTGAGCCATGTTGATGTTGTAAGTTTTGGTATATATCCAAATTGTAACAGTATTACTTGCCCCAACTGTGCAACACATTAGGTTCAGATGATATGCTATCTTTTTGTAGTATTGCAATTGCAGTGGTTTAATGGAAGGAACAACATAGAAACAACACCACAAATCACACAAGTGTGACACCTCATCAATCCTTAGTACACTTTATTTCAAATGCTACTAGGATTATACATTTTATTTCATCATAGGTTAACAAAATTACATAAACGTAGGTGCATAAAAGAAAATCTATTTCAACAATTTATAACACATCCAAAACATCTGATAAAACATGACCTATGTCATGTAGAGATACATACAAGAATACATAAGTTGTACTGAGTAGTTATGGTTTTGATATTTAGCACAAACATTTAATGCAAAAATAATTAATGCATACTTTAGGATAACATTTTTCATGCTTGGGAACATTATTGCTAAGAGATTAGCTAGCAACAGGATCCATATAAGATTGTCCCAAAAGGTCTGTTTGCAAGACATCTTTTCATATCATACCCTACACGTTGGGTATTTAAATGGTTGTATTTAACATGTATAAAACTTTCATGCTAACTCACCATAAAACATGTCTTTGAAATATCATCCGAACAAAATAACATGGTAACTTCAAAAACTTATATATATATATATATATATATATATATATATATATATATATATATATATCACATAAATATTCACTTTTCTTTGAGCTTGCTTTTAGAACATGGTACATTTATGAGAAGATTATACATGGTGTACTTGTTGTGCCTTATCCTCAGAATATTTGTCTTAACTTTATCTCTTTAGAAGCTTACACAGCTCTCATTTGTCATCTACTAGCTTAGCTTCATCACTAAAATCCTGCTTCTATACCTAGTTGTAGAACCTATGTTATATGATGTAAGCTTACTTATTTCCAACTTTTTTTAAAATAAAATTTGTAATATTTTTTCTAAAACAAACATTCCTTAAGTGTGCCCTATAGTTGCTTATGTCTATTTATAGTACAAGGATCTTAACTAATCCCTTATAATTGTGTATTAACTATTTGATACATGTCTATTTTCCTGAAAGGGACAGAATATGTGTAAATATATATTTCTGAAAATATAGTACCTTACCTTCATTTTTAGAAACAGGGATGTTACAAGATAACATTATTTGCTTCATCAGCTAATTCTGAAATCCATTAGGTTCAGATGATATGCTATCTTTTTGTAGTATTGCAATTGTGGTGGTTTAATGGAAAGAACAACATAGAAACAACACACAAAACAAATTAAACAGGATAACAGTATTTGCTTCATCAGCTAATGATTGCACCAAAATGCATTGACAACCTCGGAATGCAAGGAAACTATCATCAGATCATGAACATTAGAAAAACAAAGTATAACAAGTGCTCATACAAATTTAAAACTTGTACTTCAAATTTACAATCCAACTTCAAACGAAAGGCAATCTCCTCCATTCACATACACACTAATCAGTCTTTCAATTGATAAGAGAGAATAGAAAACAAGCAAGTCACTGACTCACTGTAGATCTTTGGCAGTAACACCATACTTTTCCTGAAGCTTCGTAAGCTCCTCTTCTTTCTTCTTTTGATCAAATTTCTTACTCATCTTGGCCTGCTGATAATACAAGACAATGAGGTAGCGATTGGCAACGTTAAAACCGGAAAGATGATCGACTGCTGTTTTGGCATCGTAGATATCTTCGTAGACGACGAAGGCAGTGCCTCGCGTATCCTTGTTGGTTCCGATACGTATCTGGCGAATTGCACCGTATTTTCCGAAAATATCGTACATCTCTTCGGAAGTGATGTTGAATGGCAAGTTGCGTACGTAGAGGACCCTGTTTACTTCTGGTGGGAGCCTTGTGTTTCCCTTTCTTAAATTGATTGTTGCCATTACAGATTGCTCGTTCGCGAGATTGAAAATTTTAGGGTTCCGAAAAAGGATTTAGGGGTTTTGGTTTTGATCGACAAGTTATTGTTATACTCCTCTTGTTCAAACTTGAAACCGCAGAAGTCTAAAGTAGCCCCCTTATTTGAAAGGGATTACAAATACATTCCATTTTTGTTACTCGAGTGCTTTTTTTTTTTTAACTTAAGAAATAATTTGTAGTAATATTATATATACTAATAATAAATTACTGGAAAATAAATATGCGAACAAATATCCAGTAATCCAGACAAACTAGCACTATGATATTTCAATGTACTAAAATGTCAAGTGTAAATTTTTTGTCTATCTTTTGTGACGCGATGGAAAAAGAAAAACAAGTATTTTTTTTTTTTTTTGCACTAAATAGCAACTACTTAAATCAAAAGATTGGTTTTGACCAAGGAGATGAACGTATGAGGAAATAAGAGTTACGATTCTTTCTGATGACTAGGTACTCAAGTCCTTTGATTTTATGAATTCTTACTTTTGTTTTTTTCAAGATTGAGTTGTTGAAACCACCACACTCCACATAAATCACTATAAGACTAAGGGGAGTGGCACTCGCCAAGCCACTCGCTTTAGTCACCAAAAATGTTGAACACCACCCCCTAGCTCTCGCTAGGGGGCTCGCCAAATAAAACACGCCAAGCATAAGGCAAGGTGCTAAGAGTGTTACCACTCCCCTTAGCCTAAGGGTATCTCCAACCCACTCCCAAACTCTATTTCTTCCCAATTTTTCCCCTATTCTTCTCCAATCCTACCCCATTTTCACCTCTATTTTTGGAGATATGAATAGTATTCCCCCATATATGGGGGAATACTATTCATATCTCCAAAAATGGAGGTGAAGTTTGGTTGCCAATTTTAGTCTCTCTCATTTTTATTTTATACATTTCTAGTTTATTTTATCTACTAATTATAATTTAAATACAATATTTAATATTTATAATATCATGTTATATACTAACTTATATTAATTAATCATAAATATAGAGTTTAACTAGTAGAGGGGTGTATTTGACAATATATATAAGTTATAAAAATGAAATATTATAAGAATATACTTTTTGGGGTAAAAAATGGAGAAGAAAATGGAGTAGGGTTGGAGATGAAACACTATTTATTCCATTTTTTACTCCATTTATGGGGGAAAATGGAGATGGGTTGGAGATGGTCTAAGGGTCACTTTATTAATTAGCCGGACACCGATAACCGATACATCGTCTTCTATTTTGGAGTTGTTCGTTGATGTTGTAAAACAAGTTTCCGAAAATGGTCTTGTATCCATGAGCGGACGGGTGGGAGTCGCAAGAGACGAGAGTTAGAAGAGATGAGAAAGGTTAGTGCGTTGGTGGCTTTTAGGTTACACATAATCGTTCTAGTTTGCCTGTTTGGGAGTGGGTTCAAGGCGGTACCGACGGTACAGTCGCCTACACGACATCGAGCGAAGACGGTACTAGAGATTCGACGGAAGAACGAGTTGGATAACCCGTGTCATCCCACATCTCTCTATACTCTCGCTCTTTTTGATCTTTCCCGACAGTCATTTTTTTCCTTTTGACCAAACTATAAATACCACACAACCACTTCAAAAACCACACATTATCCCATATTTTATTCCAACTTTCTCCGATTCCATACAAATTCTCTCCTCTTTCATTCAAACTTTCTCAAATTCCATTTCAAATGGAATTTAATCATGGCAAGTAAAAAAACAGTTTAAATCAAAGGCAACCAATACAATAAAATCGAATACGGTTCTCCAAACTTTCCATATGCCATTCCCAAAACTCAAATCTTAAATTATTCTAAGTACCACCATATCAACCCCAATATAGCCAACTACCCATGAAACATTCGTATAGCCAACTTCAGTTATCTTAAGATAATTCTAGCTTTAATCCGATCCTTTATTATCCACAATCAATTCCCCAAACCCGATTCCAATATTCCATTCCTGAAACACTGTAATTTCGTGATGAGATCTTTTAAAACGAAAGCTTTTCTAGAAAAGACGATATGAAATATTTTAAAATTCCACGACAGATATTTAACCGTCAAAATATATGGTGAGAATCCTCATCCCCATCCAAAATGACCAAAACATCAAACTCAAACATTTACACTCAAACATTGACACAACCTCTCGGATGCATATTTACATTTGATTCCAACGTTGAGGCTGGGGCTAAATAGATTCTTGCTGAAACACCACAACGGAAGTAATGAAAAGGAAATAAAACGACATCAACATACTCACAACCTTCTAAAATAATATTGTCATCGAAATCACCGACCTCGCCCATCAAAATAAAGAAGAGGGATGGGAGAAAGTGACACCGTAAAGAAAATTGTGTATCACGGAGCTACCGAGCAAAAGAAAATGACACTCTTGGATGAGGATTTACAAGCGCTCAAGGAAAAACAAAAGGAAAAAGAGATGCACACAAGTGCGGACGCAAGATTTCTCAGTAGGGGTGCACGGAAAAGCTAGGGGTTGCACGATAGTAGAAAAAATAAAAAATTTCGAAAAATTTTCCACTACGGTCGGAAAAGTTAGAGCTTGTCGGTGCCACCGGTGACCCCCCTAAATCCGCCCCTGGATGCACACCCACAACCATCTGACCTCATAAAATGGCAAATTGTACCCGTCTATGATTGTGAATTGTTGAATTTCATTTTAGAATTTAATTATCATTTTAGGATTTTTTTTTTAATTATCGTTTCGTATATTTAATTGTCATTTTATGAGTTTATTTATCATTTGTAGTAGTTTATTATTTTTGATGGAAAAATATTTTTAATTTAAGTTTTATTTATTAGTAAATGTTTGATTTTAAAAAAAAATTAATTATGTGAGTTAGGAGGGATGAAAGATAAATTTTCATAGATCGTGGGATGAGAGATGAAAGTGAGAAGATAAGAATTAATGTGATAATGAGGTGGCATATTGATTGGGAGGGTGGAAGGAATGAACTTTCTCCGCCCTTAGGAAAGAGTATCCAATGAGAGAAGAGAAAGAAAGTGGTGAATGAGAATAGATCGCAATAAAATAAAGTAATAAATAAATAAATAAATAAGATAAAAATATCATTTTATAGTGAATTAAAACTAGTTACAACTTACAAATATATTTTATAGTGACTTAACGGTAGTTACTACCGGTGCTTGAAAAAAAGATCATGTGTGTAAGATTTTGAAGCTATAAGATCAACGGTTTGCAATGGATTGCAAAAACACCTAATGAAAGTTTTTGAGTTGCATGCTTTTCAAATAGTCATGATAAACGAATAACATAAAACGTTGTTCCTATTTGGAGAAGTAATCAATAATACCGCCAACTTATTAGAGGATGATGAAGGAATAGTTACCAAACTACATCAAGAGCAAAACATCTCCTTATTCTAATAAATGAATATGTTTATTCTCCTATTGACAAGTGTCATACTATTAGAACTTCTCATTAATACTATATGTCAACTATCATGCTTGCCACTTGTAAACCTAGTAATTATCAATTTCAAATTTTAAATTTCAAATTTCTCACTCTAATTACATTAAATTAATAATTGATTCTTCATTTTAAATTTTAAATTTTAAATTTTTTCACTATAATTATATTAAATTAATAACATTAGATTAAAAAATAAAATAAAATAAGTATAGATTATAAGGTGATATAATTTCACGTATTTATTTAAATCAACGATTATAATTTTATATAACTAAAAAATATTTCTTAAGTAATAATTTATTTAAAATAATTGATTAATAATTTTTATTTTTTAATATGAAAGTTTACTTAATTTTATAACTGTGGTTCTCACGGGTTATAAACTAGTTGTGTGATAGATAGGTAAACCCACAACCCACTTCCGTTTTAAACAATTCTCGAAGATCAACCCCACCTCCATAAGATCCTCGATAACTTGTGTGATGGATAGCTAAACCCCCGGTAAACCTTTTCTAGCCAATTGCCTATATCACAAATTGTAAGATTATGCAAAGAAATTGTGCTTTTTAGTCTTCTTTCTTCTTTAATCTCCATAACCACTTAGCAAGTAAAGCCAAATTGCATTATCTAAGGCTTCCAACCCCAAGAAACCCAAATTTTTTAGGCCGTATTGCATTTTGCCACGGAACCAACATATTTTATTTTTATCTACTAACAACCCCAATGAAATCTTCTTCTCTAAACTTTAAAGGGACTCCTTAATCGTTTTTGGGGTTTTAAAGAGTGAGGAATAGTATAAGAAAAGACTACACATCACCGGTTTGACCAACCGTAAGTCTACCACCAAATGATAGATTTTTCACCTTCCATAGACTCAACTTAGACTTTAAATTGGTGACAATTGGCTCCCAGTTTTTAGCAAATTTATGGTTATTGTAACCAGGTACATCACCAACCAAACAAGTTTTGCTTTTAGAATAACTAGCTTTCCATTAAACTCTATGATTTGACTAGACAAACTAATTTCCAAAGATCGAGTTAATTTGAAAATGATTTCCTATGTATTCGATCAAAGATTCCAAAAAGTGAAAGTGATGGACCCAAGATGATTTTAGCAATTTTATATACACAAAATAACTAATAAATTAGATGAATAGTAAAATATTCGAGAAAGAAACATACAAAAACCATAAACCCAAAACCCAAAAACTTGCAATAAATTGCAAAAATAAAAGTTAAGGTTAAACAATTGCAAAATTTTACGAAATTCAAGAACCATTTTTTGTAATTTGCTCCTTTGTTTTATCTATCCAATAACTATATATATAAATGATCTAAACTCATCATCTTCCAAAGTACGTTCCCCAACACATGTGAAAGAAAAAACAACAAAGCTTAGTTCATGCTTCATAAGAACAAAAAAAAAAAAAAAAAAAAATTTTGTCAGAATTCAAACCGCCTATATATAAAGTAAAACTAAAAATAAAAGTTTGTATATGTTGTTCAGTTA